AATTATTATTTTTATAAATAGTAATATGAGCTTTTAAATATTAATATAAAACTACAATATTCATACTAAAACTCAATTAATTCTAAACATTAACATAATTCTAAAAATTTATCAATCTACATTATGTTAAAAGTAGACAAGTAGTAATACATCATCAATCCACATTATCAAGTCGTTCTAATACATTCTATGAAACAACTATTTATGGCATGAGGTTCTTAAAAAAACAACACTAAAACAAAGTTATTGAACTTGACAAAAAGAAGTAATGATGAATAGACAAAAGAAACCCAGATCCAACATCAATTCTTTCAACTGCCTCCTTGTAGGGAGCTTCATCCCAGGGGCTGAAATATTAAACATTAAAGCCATATGAGAAAGGTGTTAGAGGAAAATGATGGGTAAAACTGAACTAGCGTTTATTTGCAATTACTAATTGCACCCCTACCTGTTTTCGGCAGTAACTTCAACAGTAGTGAAGAACTCATTTTCACACTCAAGCAACTCAAATATCGGACCAAATACCCCTAGAATTTCATGCTCTCTGCATATCCTCTTAACTGAGTTCAATTCCCTTCTAATATCCTATAACCAACAAAAATAAATAACAAGATTAGGTACTTGTACTTCAATTTCAAGTTTATTTAAAATGGTACAAATTATCAAAACAATGTATTGAGCATATGGCAAGAATAGTGTCCACTGCCTTGTTGGTCTGATTCATCATCTATTCATAGTATGACAAGGACTCCACCACCAAATCCTTGAATTCTTGATCATCTATATTTACTGATTCGGTTGGTTGATTCGGAGAGAGGACAAATCTTCTAGTGGCATGGGCTTCCTTGTGCACTTCAGATTTCGTCTCAGCACTACAAAACAACATGAAAATAGCGACGGACTATTTCCTTCGCTAAACAGGTGAAATTCGTTGCCAAAACAAGCGTCGCTAGAATTTAGCGACGCAATTAATTTCCGTCGCTACTGTTAGCGACGGAAAGTTTCGCCGCGAAACAAAAATAATCTGTCGCTATATTTCTCCCGGTGACAGTTTTGACGTCGAAATTTGCTAGGGAATAATCCCGGTATATATATTTAGCGACAGGTTTGAACATTCGTCACTAGATAGCGACAGATAAACAAATCCGTCGCTAACATGCAAACAAAAACGAGTCTGGATTGAAAATGTAGCGACGGATGAATATATCCGTCGCTAATATGTAGCAATTAAAGTTATGGAATTAGCAAGCGAAAAATCCATCGCAATTTTGTCTCTAATATTTGCGCGGAAATTTACCGCTAAAATTAGCTACGTATTTAACGACGGAACATTTCCGTTGCTAAATCCGTCACGAATCCATCGTTAAAAGTCTATTTAACAAAAAAAATTAAAATCTGCTACTACGTTGTTGCTATTCCGTCGCTATATTAGCAACGGAATGTGTCCGTCGCTAAATCCGTCGCTATTTACAAGTTTTTTTGTAGTGTAGCTGCTACTTTTGAGTCCTTTTGATAGCCATCTTCATCTTTTCTGAAAACTAACTGTTGTTCCTCGGTCATGGTCTTTAAGAAATTCATCATAAAAGATAATGCATCCACTGGCCTTGGTGAAGGTGAGGGTGTTTGGTCATAACCAACATCAATGGAAAATAGATTCTCTGAGCTCGCACCAGGGGGCGCGTCCATGTTTCCACCACTGGATGAGCTAGAATATGTAGCTTTAGAAATCTGCAAAACTTCCTCAAACTTCTCAAGAACAAATAGCTTTAGAATATCTGAGAGAAATGGAAAATTCACCTATTTGTTCATATTCTAAAGCTTAAGAGAGGGGAAGATCGATAGCGCGTTTTTTTTAAATAATTTTTCTTAATTTGTGTCGTTGATCTAGATTAGATCAATGGCTCAAATTTCACCTCATCTTTCACATGGGGTAGTCTTCGCACGTGAACTGATCCTTATATATAAGGTGCTTTTCTGGTGCACACCATTATTATAATGTGAACTTGTGGATTGATGTGGTGCACCGATGTGAGTGATCTTATGGTGCGCAAATAAGACGCACGGTAGTTTCGGTGCACTGCCAAGTAGGTTGTGTTGGGGCGTGTTTTGAATTTGAGATAACAAGCGCTACTAATGAGCGTGTTTCGCGGTGACCACCGAATTTCTTTTTTTTTTTTTTTTTTTCCGTTGCGACTGCTGTGCGTGGCGATTAGTGCTATGGAACTGACGACCACCGAATCAAGCCACCGCCGTTGTCACGAGTCTGGACTGACGCTGCTGCATCTTCCCCGCGGCGATCATATGGATCCCCAGGTGTGCTTCCGAGTTCCAGTTCGTAATTCATTATTTTTTTTATTTATTTTTTTTTATCGTGAACTTGTAGTATATTCCGAAGATGCTCTGCGTTGTTCAATAAACAAGAATCCAATCTGGGTTTCTCAAGAATCCCGTGGATACCTTGGCTCACGTACATGCACACAGAAGGTAGCCACCGTTGGTGCACCTTAACACACATGTAACAATAATGCTTTAAAAATCTGTAGTATTCTTTAAGAGTATAACTTTGCAGTGGGAGTCATGTTTGCAGTAGTGTCCTATAAAAAACTGTAGTGTTCTTTGAGAATTATAAACATACAATGCTTTTTAATGGTAAAAATGCTCAGCCACCGCCAACATGCAGGGCAGTAAAAAAATCAGGAAATACTTGATCCTAACTACTCATTGCACCTTTTTGCATAAAGTGTGTATAACCTCTTTTTGCATCTACATTTTTCACTTATTTAACTATCACAGCCTTTTGGATACCTCCAGCGCACTGCCTTTTGTATAGTTCTAAAAGCCTAGTTCTAGATTTCTAGTGCCACAGTTGTGTTTTCCTCCATTTTTCCTTGATGATGTTGTAATTATATTGCTTCTTCCACAGGTGCCAGGGGGCAAGATTGTGAGAGGATGGATTGGTATGTCACTGTACCAACGAAATATTGGTGGCCTACACTGGACCCCACAATTACGCTGGAGGTCGGGCGCCGCTTCAAAACACTAGCAGAAGGCATGCATTTCTATATCAACTACGCTAGAACATGCGATTTCTCTGTGAGACACCACACACTAAAGCGAGGTCGGGATGACAAAATTACCATGCGTTACTTAGTATATAGCCGGGAAGGCGTAAAAGGGGGCGGTAAGAGCAAGCTGAAACCTGTAGAGGGTGCAAGTGGTGGTCGAAGCACTCAACGTAGAAAACGAGCGATGCATTATAGTTGTGATGCAGGTATAGTTTGATGTTTTTACCTTTTACTGGAGTAGACCACAACAAGCGGTGCATTATGTTCGCCGGGGGGTTGCTGACTAGAGAAGACACTGAATCATACGTGTGGGTTCTCGGGAGATTCAAAGATGCAATGGGAAAGAGCCCCTAGTGTGTCGTAACTGATCAAGACCCGACTATGAAGATCTATAAATTACATATTTCTATCACTCATTTCTGATTATTAATAAAGACATTGGAGTTTTAGAATTCATAAGCGCTAAGGATCTTCCCACTTTACTATCACTCAGTTCTAGTTATTAATAACGACATTGGAGTTTTAGAACTCATAAATGCAAGGGATATTCCCACTTGTATTTTTTTTTTTACCTCGATTTACCCGTTCCAGCGTGCTAATACACTTGATGTTGACATACCATGGCTAAATTGTTTTAAAGTGCATGTAACGTCACTGTGTGAATTTCTACCATTATTACATGGAATAAAGTACGGAGTAATTAATTTGTGAAGGAAAACCTTTAATTGAATATATTATATTCTGCAAACTTGCTTTGTAGAGTGGAACCCTGCTTGATTAGGAGCATTAGCGTTTGTAGGCCAGTTTTATTTTCCCCGTCCACTTAAATGGAGTTCTCAGAATACATTGCACTAGTGCATTAAACATTAGCTTAGATTGCATTAGTTTTGATTGAATTGGCTACTGGAATTGTTTGTTCGGTGAGCAAAGGCTACTGGAATTTTAAAAAATTCTGGAGTTTAATTTGTGGCAGTAGTGCGTCTGGAATGAGGTAACAATTGGCATATTCTGGAAATATTATGGGATTAGTGGTGTGGATAAATGCATGTGCGAATAAGTGATGAATGGACTAGCTTATTTGATATTGTGCCTGGGTCAACGAATTTTTTTAAAAAATTGGGTGTTAGATTTTTCAGCAAGAATGCACTTTTGTTCTGAGTCCTTTTAGTTCATCATTGCTGCACCTAAACATGAGTTGTTTTAACTATTGAGATGTTCTACAATAAACAAAACAGTACTGCCTTACCAACATTACATTGTCTCCGTTAATGCACTGCTACGCTAGTAAGACCACAAATGCACCACTAGTCATGTGAAATGCACATCACTAATTACACCAAGTGCACAACGATACCCAACAGAATGCACAGCTAGCCACTAAACAAAATAAAAAGAGATCACAAGAGCACTATGCCCTTTTAACAAAAAATGTCTAACATAAATTACTCCACACAAATGCATGTGCCTTACTCCTCCAAGTGCCCAGCTGGCCAGATGTAAACAACAAGCATGAATAAAATTATAAACATCCCATTACTTCAATTGTTCTCTTCCCAAATGAACAAGAACACAAATACAAGCATCATCCAATTTTCGCAAATTTGAAATCACCTGAAATGCAAGAATGCAGAACTACCACCCAATAGCACATTACAGCCACACAACACCCCAGTTTCAAATCACCATGTGGTTTGCAGTACTACCACCAAAAAGTTCACAGTCTACCTTAGTTTTTTTTTTTTTTTTTGGAGAAAACAACAACCCAGAATTCAGACCCGTATGTGTACGAAGCATACCCCGTCGGGTCTTGGAGCGGGCACGTGGGGCACCGTGCGTGCAGCATCACCATCTTCATAGTCTGATGGAACTCTTTGGGACGGAGGTTGCCAGGGACGTGTTGCCGATGCATGAACCAGTGCATCCACTTGCAAAAAACCAATTTTGTTACAAACACAAACAATCTCACACAAATGAAAATAGTATTACCTTTTGCCCCAATAAATCAGTTCATCCTACCCATCTTTTTTATTTTGATTTTGCAGGGATCCCATTTTGTGAACTTACTATGTTATACACGCTTCCAGCACTTTAAATCTATTTACATACTACTTGTTTCCTAACCTACAACTGTTTCCATTAAGAAGTCAGTAGATCATAGTCATTAGATCATCCTACTGCAGTTAACTAGTGCACCAGTTAAGATGGCATACCGTAATGGGACCAGGAACGGGTCCACGGTATCCAGGGCGTAGGCGTTGGGCACTTCGGGTGTCTTGTGCTACTTGTCGTGGACTAGTACAAGGCAGTGCATCCACCTGCAAAAACACAGTCAAGTTGAGCATATCCAGGTGGCTACTATAGATATTGCATTATCAAACACATCTATGATCATTTATTTTTAAAATTTTTTTTTTTTAAAATACCAAAAAAAAAAAAAAAAAACAGTGAGCAGAACATTAACTCCAAAAAGGGGACTGCATTCCCATTCCAATGACACATAATTACATTATAAATGCCAAACACATTTGTGATCATTCATTTGAAAAAAAAAATTAATTAAAAACAAAGCCCAAAAAAAATATTAGTTTTTAAAAAAATAAATGATCACATCTGCAGCTTGGTTTAAATCATCCTACCGGGCTACCGTAGTTCACTAGTGCACCAGTTAAGATGGCATACCGTAATGGGACCAGGAACGGGTCCACGGTGACCAAGGCGTGGCCGTTGGTCATTTTGGGTGTCTTGTGCTACTTGTTGTGGACTAGTACAAGGCAATGCATACACCTGCAAAAAAACAGTCAAGTCGAGCATACCGAACTAGCTAATATAGGTATTGCATTATCAAACACATCTGTGACCATTTGTTTTTAGGGGAAATTTTTTTTTTTAAAAAAAAAAATCCAAAAAAAAAAAAAAAAAACTATTACTGTAACAAAGGAGATAAAACAGTGAGCAGAACATATAACCTCTAAAAGGGAACTGTATTAAGCTCCCATCCCAATGTCACATTTTCACCCAAACTATTCAAACCACTAACGATACCCTAACACCATACACAAGTAAGCCAAGCAAGCAATTTACATAATTACATTAGAAGTAAATTCCTCCCTTATGATCGTTACATTAAAAAGGAAATATCAAACACATTTGTGGTCATTCATTTAAAAAATTAAAAATAAAGCAACAAAAAAAAAACAAAACAAAATAAAAAGTCAAGCCTAAGTTGCTTAGGCCATGCCAAACCCTTCCAAATAATGTAGTGCCATCATCCCGACCTGGATCTCCACAACGACACACCGCATTACATTAGTGCACTCCAAAATATAAACAAAGCATATAATTCCCACCAAGCTCTAATTAGTGCAATAGAAACTATAAACAACACATGCAATCCCCTGACTCCTAACACCCCATAGTAATTCAAATTCTTCATCCTACTTATTTCAGACCTGGATCACCACAACGACACACCGCATTAGATTAGTGAACCCCGAAATATAAACAAAGCATATAATTCCCCATCAAGCACTAATTAGTGCAATAAAAACTATAAACAACACCTGTAATTATTCCCAACTCTGACTCCTAACACCCCCTCAAATTCTTCATCCTACTTATTTCACCCCAGTGCATTCCCACAGTAAACCCAAACACACAGACATGCTTACGATCTTAAAAGGCATCCATTTTCACCCCCTATACTAGACAGTATATCCTAAAGTGTCAAGAAATCCAGTCTTAATGAACTTATTAGTTGAGCAATTTTATAGTCAAATGGCTATGAGTGAACACCATTCCAAAATCCCAACTCCCAACCCCTAGAACAGCCAGAAAACACTGCATTACATGCTTTGTTCAGATTAGTGCACTCCGAACTATAAACAAAGCATATAATCCTCATCAAGCACTAATTAGTGCAATAAAAACTATAAACAACGAATGTAATCCCCAACTCTGACTCCTAACACCCACATAGTAATTCAAATCCTTCATTCTACTTATTTCATTCCCACTCAAACTGTGACACTAAATGTGAAATAAAACTACTGACACACCCATACAGTAAAACTGTGAACACCACTGCTATAATGTGAAATACTGGGACAATCAACACACAGCAACCCCTAAACCATGGCCACTGGCCTGGCCGACTCCTAACCCCTAAACAACCCAAAACCCCTCGAACCAACCTAATTTCGAAAATTGGCAGTGAAAACGCATAGAAACCATAGGAACAGGCACAAACCTTGCATACCGCACTGGTGTGTGATCCGTCTTCATGAAGATACTCTAGAAGCAATCCCGGTTACGGCCCGTTCGAAACTGACACGATCAGCCCGGCGTCTAAACGCCCAGGATGCCTCCGCAACCCTGTGCAAAGCAGCCGACGGCGGAGTTGTCGGCGAGAACGAAGGTCGGGACCTACCCCTCCTAGAACGGTGGTGTGACCGAGCCATCGTGTATCGGACCTCCTTCCGGCGAGAACGGCGCCTCAACAGAGCTGAGCAGACGGTAACTCCAACGGGTAGACACAAACCCCGACCCCTAACCCCAACCAAAATCCTGCCCCCTGAAAATCACAAATTAAACCTTGCGCATTCCACGTACCACTAACAAATGATATGTGTGACGGGGTGCACCCGAACCCGTGCACTCTAATTTCCCCCCATGGATCAGCCCCAATCGCACGGCTAGTATAAGTGCACACGTGCACACCTTTTCAAAGTTCACACCTGAACTTTTACCTATATATATATATATATATATATATATATATATATATATATATATATATATATATATATATATATATATATATATATATATATATATATATATATATATATATAGAGAGAGAGAGAGAGAGAGAGAGAGTTGAGTTCAAATGAGGACCATTATATTATAGAGGACTGTGCGAACTGGTGCAGTCGTGTGACATTAGTCTGTATGTCGTGTGCCTAGCCTAATGTAGTCGTGTGCCACAGTTTATATGTCGTGTGCATATGTTTGTTAATTAATAGAGCTTGGGTTCAAAACCTGATCTTTACATGTATTCTCGTGTGCCATTGGCCCATTGTGTATTAAATTGTGTGCATGATAATAATTTATTGTGTGCCTGTAATCAGTCCGCACAATCCTATATATATATATATATATATATATATATATATATATATATATATATATATATATATATATATATATATATAAAAAGTGTATTCAAATGATGACAACTATATTATAGAGGACTGTAAAAGTAACTCACACCAAAATAAAATTTTACTCACACCAAACTAGAATTTTATAAAACATAAGTTATAGTTCCATTATGAAAATATCCATAATTTAGCACCAAGTCAATGAAGGATGAAAATACCCACCAGTGAGTCAATACTTAGATAGTTAGACCCCCAAACCAAAACCAACCGGACACAGCCCAGTTGGTTCGAGTCTAATTCTTTAAGTATGCTTACTCCGAAAGGGACGCGCACACACACACACAATTATTTTTATCCAAAACCAACACATTCACCAATATGTGAAAAATTCAAAACTACTATGATTCACCAATTTTCAAAAATTCCACCTTGTAATCAAAATATAAATGTCCATATACTTTGAAAAATAGCCTAATGCTCAGGGATTTATATATACACTCAAAAAAATCAACCACTTCAACCAAACACAATATTTTCACAAAATCCACATAACATTGGAAATTTTTCAGAAAATCAATTTGTAAAACATAATAATTTCTCAAAATACCATGAGCATCAATTTGGGTATAGTCGAGGCCTAGCCTCTCTTTCTCCACCCAAAAAAAATAAAAAAAAATAAAAAAAAAACATCAATTTGGATATAGTAAAAGTGATGAACATAAACCTTACCTCAACCAACCAAAATCCAAAGTACCAAAACTTAGAATCGATGGTCCATACTCGCTAGATCTTCTACACAATAATAATAATTCCCGAATCACACATAAATCAACAAACCAATGAAACCCTAGCACTACCCAAAAAATATAAGAATATCTAGGAAACTTACGACTTATTGACCGAGAGAAAAACCTTAAGCAACACAACTAACGAGACAAAATTTGGTATTTTTCTTATTCTTGATTAACAACAAAGTGAGAGGAAAAGAGAGAGACGAGAGAAACGGCTAAGAGAATGATGAGAGAAAAGAGAAGAGGAAATAATGGGATTAGGATTTAGGATTGTATTAGGTCAGACTTGAAACTCAAGTAACAGAATGAAATTAGAAAACAAGGATTTGATAACTAAAATATTCTTAGGGAAATTTATTAAAATAAATCTAATAAAATTGAAGTTTAATAATGTGATGGAATAATTTAAGGGTTCAACACTTAGTAAAATAATTTGAAAGTGCCTAATAATAAGAACCGAAATAATGAAGAAATCTCATCTAGACGCATGTACGAGCCATGTACGACCATACAAGACACCCCTAAACGAAATACAAGCTAAGTATGAACGTTTCGAAAAAATACAACGTAAACTCATCATATGCATGTACAAGCATACTTGCCTAGTACAAAGACCTCCCAACGTTTTACAAGCTAAGAACAACCCTACTCCTCCCATACAAACACCTCCTGAAAGAAATTTTACAAAAATTCACAAAATTACACTTGTACGAGACCTCATACGAACGTACGACACTCATACAATGCCCAACAAATACGGAGTATCACAATCTTCCCCTTAAAGAATGTTTCCTCCTCGAAGCTCAAACCACGACTTAAACCATGCCAAAGCCAACCAAAATCATAAGTCAAAAACACACCAAAGACAACAACGGTTGACACCCCACAGGTGACACCAAGCCAACTAAAACCACACTTAATAACCAAACCACAACAATCAAGACATAGATAGGCAATCAAAATCATAGAAAAAGAAAACGAGGGTGCTAAACTTCAATTTTCATCATCAGAATCAAACGACTGCCTTCTCCTAAGAGATTCTATTACAGCTGCAGACCGTTCTCCTCGACTAGCTGCCATTGTTCTTACTGAGCAAGACTTGAGCTTAGGTGCCCTCATTGCACTGAGTGGTGGCGTTGCAGCGCCTTGATTGACTTCCCTTAGCACAGCTGCTGCCGTTGCATCTGCCATTGCTGAAGCAACCTGTGAATTGCTGTGCAGCTTTGCCTTCAGTTTACTCTTCATGATATTTGAACCTGGAACCATTGGATCTGCCGGGGTTTGGTAGGAATCTGATCTTTGCAGGGTTGCAACTGCCTCAGCAGCTGTAGATTTAGCCTTCATTGACTCATATTTCTGCATATCATAGATGAGCTCTTTCTGAAGCTGCTTATCAGCAACCAATATTTCGTCAATCTCATTCTTGTAGTCCTTGAGAAGGATCCGGAGGCATTCCATGAGAGAACCAATGAGAGGGCTGTGTTTGCTCTCAAGCAGACGTTTTAACTCAATGAAGATGGGAATGGTGGTTTGGATAAGCCCTTTCTTGACAGCTTGGGTTATAGCATTTCCCCTAACAGCAGCTGCAGATGCTCCTCCACTGTCTCCGGCTTCTTCATCTATGTCAGGCAAGTCAGATGGCATTCCACGGCTGGTTGAAATCCGGATGTCTTTACTTGACAGAATTTGGAAAGCATCCTGCATGCATACTCAAAATATATGAATCACAAAATAGATTATCCAACCAAAACCCTCGGTCTGTAAAAGTAGAGAATGAAAGACATGCAAATAGCAAAAACAAATTCAATTTATTTCTTAGCAAAATGATATTTTGTGTTGTGTGCATGTATAAAGGTGTCAATCCCCAGAAAAAAAAAAAAAAAAAAAAAAAAAAAAAAAAAAAAAAAAAACAAAAAAAACAAAAGTGGGAGACGTTAAAGGAGCTTATTGGCAGCAAATATAATACTATACCTGCAGAACTGACTGTGCAGTAGTATCACCTAGATTGAGCATACCATCAGATGCTGCACCAAGAATCTCTGCACATACTTTAGCAAATGTTGCTAAATGGTGTTCTGGAGCCATCTGTTTAAGCAGAGTGGCATAAATGTGCATTCTTGAAGACCTTGACTTCGCATCATTTCCTCTAATGAATAGCCAGCCATATGTTAAAAAATTATACACATGTTTCATATTTAAAGACTATATAAAAATGTCCACCTAATTGAGAAAAGCCGGCTTTCATTTCTTGAAAGCTGGGAGTTACTAGATCCAGTATGAGCATTGCAGTCATTCAGAGCAAATATAGCTTCCACAAAGCTATTGTAGGCCAAAAGTGGTGCCTTTACTGTAACAAACAAATAGTAAACATGCATCACAATTCTGAGACAAAAAAAAAAAAAAAAAAAAAAAAAAAAAACTTCTTATACAAGTTGTGCAGTGGAAATCACCTTTTAAAATATTCCCAAAGAGGAAATCAGCTAGTTGTCTTATCTTCTCGGATTCATCAACGAGAGATAATAAAAACCGAAGAAAAAGAACTCCTCTCCACTTTACATAGTCCCTCTGAGTTCAAGTCATAAGTCAAATGAAATAGAGACAGAGTATGATAGTAGCTACTTTTTAACTGATGTTTGAAATGAAAAATATAATGAATATGTGAGAAAACAAGAAATCACCTGCAGTAGTCTTGCAAGTAGTATAAATGTCTGCCGTCTAACTAATTCACATGAATCACGTAGACACTTGGTGATCTTTGAGAGATAACTGTCAGAATAGAAACATATAATAATTACATAAGAATACTGAACTTGGTAATTAGAATACATCTATAAATACACAGCAAATATGGTCCTCACCAGTCCACTAAAGATGTATGGCGTACACAAAAATCTGCCATCATTACAACTATGTTGTTGCGAAGAGCAGCACAATCACTCTTTTCAAGCTCCTAGAAAGACGTAATTGCATATCATTATGTTCACACATTTAAAAGTTTCATTCAATAAAATACAAAAAGTGAATTTTGATGACCAGACCCTTTGGTAAGCATGCATGTACCTGGACAAACAGAGGAATGTAACGTTTTGCAAGTTTACCATCCGCAAGGCAGATCTTGCCCATGGTTAACCAAGCTTGAACATACAAGGAAGGAGCTGTCTGCTTGATAGAAACTGAAGGTCCCGGTAGTTTCTTAGCTCTTGGATCAGTACCATCAGAAGTGATAATTGTGTGTAGAACTGGAATCATGGATTTCAAAACAGCTGAAGGGCAAACAATAATCAAACATCCAACAGTATGAACTGCAGTCATTGTTTGTGATAGTAATGCAGATGATGATGCACTTCTTTTCCCCTTTCCATTTATAAAACTTGGTGGTGTAAGAAACGCACTATCTTCATTTGTTTCTTTGTTCTTCGAAATATACAAATCTAGAATTTTGGACACTTTGGAGAGAAGCTGGTGAACCCATTTTGTAACAAGGGAATCAGCCTCCTCAGGGCTCAAA